ATTCTTGGTTTGGACCTCAAGTCGCGTACTCAATTCGGCGCGCACAGTCTAATCAGCGCACACAGGAAACGCACATGTTTAAGTTAAGATTGCCTCGAGTTTCGCACTCAATTCGGCATGCACAGAAAACGAACAAGTCACGCTCTGAAAGCCAAGCGGCCATGTAATGTTCTGTTTATTTTATTTTTACTGATGAAATTTCAAAAAAACCGACTGCGCGCCTGAGCGGGAAGCTCTCTTGTAATTGGCTAATCATGTTAGTAATCATGGCGACACCAATATCCTCACACATGAAAGATAAAAATAGTATCTTCACTGAGCGCGATGAAGACATGATTTTGCAGTAAAAGGAAAAATCCTGGTATTCCACCAGTATCTATATAATAATTAGCCATAATTTATGCGTCTTGCCCTTTCGGCATGGTGCTCAATTCGGCATTTTACACAGGACACAATAATTATTTTTCCTCGTCCATCTGAAACTCGGTTTTCGTTTGAGGGAAAAGAGGAATTTGAGCGACGTTTTCATTCGAATGTCTATGACTCGTACCCTGGGCCCGGTCACTAGCGGCAATTTGGAGAACAATCGGCTGCAACGAAGTACTTCTCCTGGCATGGGAATTATCAAAGCCACCACTAGAGGAGCAAGCTGCAACCAAAAGGATCAGCACGAAAAAAGAAAGCGAAGTACGATACATGGTTCCAATCTCGAATCATGATTCCGCCAAACGCGGGAAAGACCTTGACCAAGAACGGTTTTAAAAGCGAACTCTATATTAAGCGAGGTCTTCGTCTTCTGCGTCTAAAAGCTGATTCTAGCCGCAAAAAATGGCTCATAATGTACCAAAAATAAAAACAACAAAAACAACAAAAACAACAAACAAACAAAAAAACACTACGTTGTTTAACTAAGGAAGAAATGCAAAATTCCACAAAAACCCAAAAGCCGCGAAGACAAATCATTTGATGGCGATCCAGTCTTACCCAGTAATTCGAGCGAGAATTTTTCTTTACCTTTTAAAAGAGGGAGATGGATATGTGATTGACGTTTGTGCCAATCAATGAAATTTTGGTCAGTTTGATGCGATTGCAAAATTTTTTTGCCAATTTTTGGCACGCGAAAACTTAGTAAATGTTTGAATTCGCTCTAGTGCCACCCGGCCTTAACTCATATGTATATAAGCATAAGGAGGCATATGCCTTGTTAAACTTCGTTGAAAAGCAGTATTTGCATTCGTGGAAAATATATCTTTAATTATCAAAACCCCTACGTACTGTACAAGGAGAAGAAATAATACTACCTCGTGTTTGTAATCCTACAAACAACTTATTCTGACGCATTTATGTACAATGATTTTAGAATCATATAAGGATACACCTTAGTTTTAATGTTGTAATCGAAGCAAACTAATTACTCTAAGTCGCAATGCTTAGTTAATATTACTGTATTTTTTTGTAATGGAAATAAGACCATTTGGATAACTTGGAAACATTTAGGTTAAGTTTAACTGAATTTCAAGAGTATGTTTCGGTGTCAAGATTCCAAAGAAGTTAGTAGGTAAACCGGTGCTCTTTACAAGGTAGGAATGAGAAATCCAATAAATATTTAATATCAGTTGTAACTTTTTGTGTTGTGAATAATGAAACATTTAGCGGCACTGTGCTAAAGTTTCGGGAAATAGAAATAAGCAAACTTTGTGTAACAGCCCAAGGCGCATTGACAGAGCGGTTCCGTATGATTCCGTTGCTTCACACCAACGGCCGTGATTAGAATCAGGTCACCGCTTGGAGACTGGGACCCTTGACATCAAAACGAAAACTCGTTCGTAAACAAACCGGAGTCAAAATAATGGAAAACTTATTGAAGTCCTAAAGTTCCAGGCATCTAATTTTTCATTGTACATTATGTTGGAAGCTCAATTAAAACTCGTTTTGAATGCAAACTCTACTTTCTGTTAGTATTTAGCTAGTGTGGCTTCTGATAAGGTGATTAAAATACAGATATTGTGGAGTATCTCTGCACATAAGGAATATGGAATAGGCGCAATAGAAAGTAAGTTATGGTAACAAGGGTAACAAGAAACATTTTAGCAAAGTTAACATCTCTAACAGCTACATCTAAATAATTCAGTATTTGCTTCAATTAACATAAATAGCCATCATTGTACTTGACAATTCCTCAGAATACTGTTGATTCTATAAAATAAAAGAAATCCAGAAGCATACTTCAGAAAAATTTCTATTTTCTTAGAATCACTTTAAATTTATCACCTGGGTTGAGCTCTTTGATCGCATGGAAATTTACATGAGCCTTGGTTAACTGGAGAAGTATGCTCCCGGCAAAAACCATTTAAATTTATTTCCGCCATTCAATATGGCATATAAAATATACACACTACAGCATTTGAGATCCATAAGAGAGACCTTCCATTTCGAAAAATTGCCTTCACGTGTGCTAATAATTTCCTTACGGACACCGCCATTTTGGAAACGACTTAGTAACCTGAACGCACTACCATGACTTCTTGAAATTCATTCAAATAATAGGAGTACAGTTGCTGCTTTAGTATGAACCTCTAAATTCTCAGTTATCCGACGCTCCAGAGTGAAGTCAAACAGTTCAATTTCACCATGCCTTATCATTTAGGTCAATGATTAGCGACCAGGTTGCTAAGCAATATTCAAAATGGCGTCCTCCTTAGTCGAAGTTTCGGCTCATTGGAGGAAAATTTACCCGCGAAGGTAAGGAAATCCGTTGCAAACTCCAAAAGTAGCAATTAATATGATGCAAATATACTTTTAAATGGCGGAGCTAAAAATGATATGGTTTCTGATGCATATTTCACCATTTTTATATGCATTTGTCAGTTTGTTTCATTTTATTCAATGCGGAGAAGTTTGGTGTTAGGAATGCTACAGGGATCGTAGAACGATATGTACCTGCATTCATTCATCGCTACTTTCGCTAACTTTCCTCATTTCTGCAAGAACTTCAGCCTTTTCTTCCTCCAGGGAGATTTCCCTGGATTGAGGACGGAGATTCCTTGAGGTATCTTGGTCACCTGAAAGGTGAAAGATATTTTTTATAGAAACTAACCAAGAACAAGTCAACTCTCGTGTTACTGAAATTAAAACACATGGGACGTGGAGTTTGAAAGTCAGTGTTTTTGCAGCTAACCTCGAGATTTGATTTTCTATTACACATCAGGTATGGCGATAGAGTTGTGGATCATAGGCGCACTTATAAGTGTTGAAATAGCCCAGCCCAGTAGAAGACTGAAAAAAAAATCTAAATAGGTTTCAATCATCATTGGGCTTCACTTGATGAAACATGGGATATCTGTTGCCTTTTTATTTTAATCAATATCATCTTTTAAAACAGTATGGTTGATAACACTTACCCATCAGTAGCCTGGCGTTATTCAAATTACATTTCTCCATCATTAAGTCCATTTCCTCCACTTCATCATCTTCGTCTTCATCCATTCCCTTCCCCAGCATCTTTAGTCTCTCAAAGCGAATTTCCTGCGCACCAGGATCGTTCCTTCTGTTTAGTGAGTTTTTCTTGCCGGGGTTGATGATTCTGATTGCTCTGCTGTTTAAATCCTGTTCAGCGGCTCGCGTGCGTCGACTTCTTCGCCTCCACATCAGCACGGCGAGGACACACAATAGCAATACTCCTATTACTCCTGCAGCAGCCATGCAGCCTATTAACACGGTGTCCCGAGAGTCGTCCGAAGGCTCATCAAAACTCGACTCTGTGCACGAGAGAATTCAGTGAAAGATTGATCAGTTGACTTGATGAGATTATGTTCCATTTCAGAACAAAGTGTTGCATCTTTCTAAACACCCTTAATTTTAAGAAATGTGTAAAAAAGACTTGCTCAACGTTTTTGGTGCTATTATTGTCCTCGAATCATTTTTAATATACCACATGATTAAAAAGAAATTTGAAAGGCTTGAAGACGTCTTTTAAAAAGAGAGACATGTAAACGAAAATAGTCCTTTTGTTTGTGAAACAAAAAATCTTTTTTGCTCACTAATCAACTCTTAATGACGGGACAATTATTAAAGCAAAACTATTTTTGAGACTGTTTAAAATTGTCATTCTCCTTACTGTCAACCATACAATTCTCACAATGTTCGTTCAGAGAATTTAGTATTGGATCAACTAATTATCCCCAAATTGACATTTTTCTTTATTCTATTCACTTATCTGTTTGATAATGTATTGATATCTTGAGAAGAAATCCTGTCTTGGTCACTCATGGGAGTTAAGGGGTTAAGAGAACATAGCCCGACTTACCCTCCACTACAGTCTTGTCTGTCGTATTGATTCCGTTGTCGACAGTGTTGGCTGTTGGTGTTATTACAGGCACAATGTTTTGTTCGGTTTCAGGAATATGATCGATGGATACTTCTTCCGAAAACAAATAGGAAATAAGAAAAGCGTTACATAGGGTGGAGAAAAGAGAAGAAAATTGCATTAAGGACTTAATTACAGATGACAGAGTTTTCTGAGCAGTACTACTCGATAACAGAGTGGGCCAAGGCTGAGCCTTGGTCAGTTTCATTAAGCTTCAGTCCAAGAACATAAAAAATATATTTGTGATGCGCTGATTTTTCCCTCCTCCAAAAATACGTGATCTCATAATTTATCACTCAGCCGAAACGATTGTAAGAGACAAAACCTAAAATTGAACCATGAAAAAAAAAGACTCTCTTAAAGTGCATACAGCAATGTGAAGCTTAAAAAAGACCCAATCTACCAAATATTGCAGAGCTTTTAAGAGAAAAAAATAAGTTGGGGGAACTTAGATGCACATGAAAACCACTAAACCAAGAAAGTACCTGATTTGAATTCCACTTCACTGATCAACACCCACCATCCGTAATAAACAAATTCGCATGTGACATGTTTTCCAATGTTTCCATCTAGGTTAACCTCAATCCAAACAGCTTTGTTTCTCAGTATTGATCTTTTAGCCATACTCGGTTCATATATGGTCTTCCAAGCAAAATACTCGCCATCTCGAGAGAACGAAAGCACAACTTTGCTGAAGAGCATCTTTTCATGGTGACTCGGAAGATTAAGCACGTGAAAACGGATGCTAGAGAACTTTCTTAAGGATGAGAATTCAAATGTGACAGTTGGGTCAGAGGTTTTGGAATCTTGCCAGCCAATCCAGTCAATCCAGATTGGGTTACCAGTGTCATTCCAGTCAGCATTACGACCAATCACTCCGTCTGTTAACTGACCCAGTCCCCGGTAAAGTACGCCTATCTTCTTCCCAAAAGCGAGCCTCGTACCATCGTAGCCGTTATCTCGTAAAGAATTCCATCCGGGTAGATTCTGTCGGATATTTCCCTGGGAGATGCGGTACGAAACCAAGCCATCTGAAAGGAAACTAAAACTTTTTAAAAATTATGGTGATGTTGACTGAAACAACATTAATGTAGACACTTTTTGTTGTTGTATGTTTGTTTTTGTTTCGTTTCCTTTGGTTTTGTTTTCTATATAAAGGGCTCAGAAATTTAATGAGATTCAACGAGCTATTTGTCGTGCTTGACATGTAGCCCCAGCTTTGCAAAGCTAGGGAATCCTAAATGGCACTAGCGGGATAGCGTCTCCTAAATTGAGGCTTTTCTCAAGGGAGTTACTTAGTCGTTTTTAGAGCAAGATGCCAAATTATCAGTATCCTTTGGTTTGGAATAGCTCTTTGAATAACAGTTCTTAAAAGGAAGTATGTGGTGTACCATGTCTAGTCCAAGAACAGCCATGTATTTCCATCTTCAGGCACCATCTGTCTCCAATTCCTTGGTCCAACACAAGCCGAACACGGCGGGCGATCCGCGGGGTCAGTAGGTGGTGTTTGTGGACTCTGGAGTCATTGATTTTAATTAGCTGTAATGAGAATCAACACGAAACAGATTGAAGTAAAGAATCATCGACCAACGGATAAAGTAAAGTCAAATCATTTCTACGTTGAAGCGAGTGTTAAGAGACTCGCAACTTACTGTGACAGATACATCGTTTCTATGGTACCGCCTCCATTTCAAGTCTCCATCACGTTTATAGGCTAGGAAATACTGTGACACGTACATGAATGTAGAGTTCCCAGTAGAGTCGTTTTTCACCAACACTCCTACAGTAGACAGGGCACTGACGAGCATGTTCCTACCCAAGTCAACCTGAAAGCATCAGTAGAACAGTCTATTTTAACTTCCTCTTACATTTCTTGTTTCATTTATTTAGCTTGCTGTTATTCTAAAAGCATCTTATTTACGCCTAGAGGATGACACTTTGCAAAACTGCATGAACGCGTAAACTTTTTTCAAGCTCTCGTCAAGCCATTGCACTACAGCTAAAACAGGCAAACGAGGCAACATTTCTGTTAATCTTGCGCATTTTCTTTACTTTTTAGTAAAGAATCCCCGTAAAAAAACCGACAGAAAAAATTCAGCCCTAACCTCTATAAATGCTTTTTCTTCTTTGGCAGTTGACGAACACCAGCCTACAGTGTCCGGAGAATTGTTCATTCGTCCGTGATAAGCACCGAATAAGGTGTGGTTTATTGTAGAAGAGGCACTCCATTGACTGTCTGGGATTAAAATGCTGAGGGGAGAATCGCATATCTCTGCTTGATATGAAAGAACAATAAGATAAAAAAACGTTTCAAAGAGCAAATTGAGCCACAGCGCACTCGTGGTTTTGAGTGTAAAATTAAACAAGAAGCGAAGCATTTTAACGAACTAGAGAGAGGGAAGAGAGGTGCGTACCTGATGATACTCTTGAAAAAACCACTAAGAGTGAAATGAGCTTAATCATCGTTTCTTTCATTTTCAGCGATATATTCTTTGATCTGAAAGATAACAAAAATATTTTGAATATATTCTGCTTGCCCGAGATAACTTTTTCTTGTTTTAATAGGTAACAAAAGGTGGTGACTCGGCAGGCAGCGAGACAATCACCAAGGTTATAAGTCATTCGAGTTGCCATCAGGAATCGACAGAAGCTATTCCGCACTCGCGACGGGAGATGGTGTGTCTCATAAAAGACAACCATCAAACTAATGCGAGGTCTGTTAGGTGGCTTTGTTTGGCTGTACGCCAAAGATAAGACTGAGTTAGCTGAAAGCAGCATATGGTGATGAAATTATTGTGACATGGTTAGATATGAAAAGTCATTATAATAAATGAGGGGAGCGGACGTAGTGCGGGACACAACATTTTGAGCAATGAGCAATAGAACTGGCAGTCAACAAAAGGGCGTTTGGATCATTATGCTGTTTTTATTCGACTTAACTCAGCTTCATATGCGCTATTTTAATTTTCCTCAGGTTGATCATCCGTTTGGTCCGTTCATTCGTGTTGATTTTGAAGCATTCAATTGAAAAACCCAAATTAAAGTGTTTTCTTGCAAAAAGTCACCATTAGTCACGAATGGAGGGGAGTAGTTTGATGGCTGTTTTTAGGCCCGATCACTCGATCCCACGTAATTGCAAAATTTCGATGAACGCCGACTTAACGATGCGATCCAACAGACTCCGGAATTCAGAGCGTAATTGATTATAGTCGAGCTCCAGCTGATGCGCCGTTCCGTGAAACTATTCGCCCCATTAATATGGTTGTGGTGCTTGCCTGTCTGATTTTGTCTCGATCCCTCAATAGACAATTGTCTTATAAGACTAGACAATAATATTTGTAATATTAATACCAGCGGAACAATGTAATAACGATTTTCCACCCTAAAATCAATCCCATTGACCTGCATTTAACACAGGAAGCTGTTACGAGAATTATTGAAATCAATGATTTCACTCTAATTAGTAACTTGACGGCCGGTGGATTTCACAGGCATATTTGAAACAAATGCCTGACTTGCCAAAAGCCACGGGAAAGCTCCTTAAAAATTATTTCATGGCAAATTTTAAACTCTAAACGTATAGGAAAGATTTGATATTTGAGAAATTTGATGCAAAATTAACTGATATGTTTTTAATTACAGGATTTTGGAATGTTTCATGACCTGGTGCTTTCTTTCTGTACCCACAATTCAAGCTTCCTGTCTGTAAACGAGCATTTTCAATCTGTGTACGTTTTAACATCCACTAATTCATGAAACTAGATTAACAAATAGATAATACAAAGTCTCACATATGTGGTGATATCTTTGACTAATTTGGTTTGCAGACCAGCTAATTCAAGAAATGCGATACACTCCTTTAATTGTATTTAGTTCATTACTCCTCTTTACACTCAAATACATTCCTTGCCCGTACTAGCTAATCGCATGATTGTGCACGCTAATACAATTTATGTAATTCTCTCCGGCGTCAACTGTCCATAAAAATTTCACCGTATTAACGAAAGATTTTCGTTTGCTTTGGTATTCATGTATGGAGGGAAGGAAAGGAAATTTTACTCAACACAGGTCAAAACAGTACCCAATAAATCAAGTGGTTCGCGCCCACCACGTCAACTATACCACAGGGAAATAGCTTTCCATTGAAAATTGCTCGTTTTTTAACTTAAACCACTATGATAAAATCTTTGACTGTACTCGAAAATCAGGAGTCAAATGAAATTAAAGGGAATCACTTTTACCTTCTATTATGCTACACGGAATCGTAACACGAATTAAATGAATAGATTTAGTCAGTCTCAGACTAAAATAATAGAGCATTCAAATCGATACTTCTTAGTAGATGTGGGAACAAAAATTACTATGTTGACATGGGTTTGAAAAGAAAAAATAAAATACAAAATTAAAGATTCGAATGAACTAGGGAAATCTTAAATCCCTTAAACAACTGAATATTGATTTACATTTCGACTTTCTAAGATAGACAAATACAAAAATATATTTTGGCAGTTTCACAGCTCTTTTACGACATCTCCACCGAGTGAAAAAGAACAAAAAACGTTGGTGGCAAGACGACGGCTAAACCAAGCGTTGGAAAAGCATTCTGACCTCTAGTTTTGCACGCGTTTGGCTTGATTATTTTTTTTCTTTCTTGTGATGTTGTTTTTCTTGTCGTTTTAAATTTACTTGTTCAACGCTTTTGCTTTTAAAAGGGAATATTGAAAACGACGAAGAAAGGCCATCTTATATTTCAGGGGGGGGAAAAGGGTAGACAGGGAGGGTAGGAGAAGAGAGGGTAGACAGGGAGAGGTAAGAGAGGGCGGATACCTAAGTCTGGATTTTGCGTTTTAGTAGAAACCGAGACATATATTTAGGAAAGGAATTTTCTTATTAGTAACCGAAGCCTCATGTCTTCACTTGCAATTAATAGTCACTAATTGTGTCAGCGAGTTAAGATTTCCGGTTCTTAGCTTGCACGCCATAGACATAAAAACAAACACATAGGTACGACGACGGGATTTTTACAACCATTGGGGTGAGAAAAAAAAACGAACGCTGGCGAAACATGTGTTACATTATCCCAACATACATGAAAACAAGTTATTCCTGCTCTATTTTACGATCTTTCAAGTTTGAAGGGCAACGAGTGGTGAAAAGTGATGTTTTGTCAGTCAACAAAAGACATCCTACACCTATTGGCAATTTGCCTGGCATGTGTCATCAATAGCACATTAAAACACACGAAAACAGAAGTTTCCGTTTAGGCCTCACTATATGCTCGCACGAAAGATGAAAGCCAAACTGATGGGTAATTACGCTCTAACAGACCATCAAAGCCTCTCAGTGGCATTAAGGAAGCCAAAATCTTCAAAATGTTGCCTCGGCGTCTTTCGCGTCTCGTTTTATTGTGCTTATTGTCATAGTTTGTGAAAGAAAAGGGGACGATATGGCCCATAGATCATCGTAGGTAACTCTAAAAAGGGCGCCGTCCAAGATGCAACACACAAATGAAAGTCAGTTTCTTCCGTTAAAACCCACCTCGGCCGCTGGGTACAAGGGAATTTACCATCAAATGGCTCCACTCTGTGAAGAAACTATGTGAAGAAAGAACCGTAACGGGAAGTTCATGATTTATTACAAAATGAATCCAATAACTCATCAAGTCCACAGTAGTTTGCCCCAGGGCCTTACGTAACAACACTGGAAATGTTCCAGTGCGGTTACAGGGAAAATTTTGACATATCCCACAACAAAAACACTCCTTCCTAATTTGAGAATGGCGACGCCACGCTTTTCCGGCAAACTGTTCCCTGTTTCAGCATGATTTGAATTAGACTCAAGTACGCTGTTTGTTTTTTCTTACAAATGTGACGAGTTCCTACAAACTGACGGAAACAGAGGGATCAAAATGCTTAAAATGCCTTCCATGCTGTTTACACTCAGGAAATTTCGAGCCGGCCGGCGGCAACATGCAATGTACTGGCCGATACTGTTCGATCCGGAGATGAATCTAATCATCCAGAAAATAGAAGATTAACAATTTTACTTTTTAAAAGATTGATACGACTTAATTTGATTACAAAATTATTGCCGGAATTAAGAAAGCAAATTCCGTAATAGTAGAAGCTTCAACAGAAAAAGCGGGGAAGGCTGAAGCCGAAGGGACATTCCAAGTTCGTTTGTACATGTGCCTATTATAACACCGAAGCTAAAACGAAGAATTACATAGTATTACCTACTCTTGTTCCAATTAATCATGACTAAAAAGTTAACCGCACGGAAATATTGCTAAGTATAACAAGTAAATGCGAAGTCATGTAAAATCATGTCAAATGCCTCACTTCGTACACAATCGAACTTCCAGAAATAGCTTGAAAAGACACCAACCTTAACCAGCAGCATAAAGCAAGACACGCGAAAGGGTTTTCAAAGGCTATTCCGTGACGAATTCGTCTGTGTTTAAGTTAACGTGGCGCGAGCACTGGGGATGTGACTAAAGTACTCAGCAAAGATGATATAACCCGGGTTTAATTTGGACGTGATACGTAACACAGGTGCTTGACATAGCCCAAGTATAAACAGCGCAGGATGTCAACCCTGGACTATTTGACTGACAGTCAAGCTCATTCATGTCAGTTGTTGCCATGGTAACAGTTAAAAATTGTCCAAAGGCCACTGTGATTTTCCGTCATTGTTAAGTAAACATAAAAGTTTGATACCACAAAAGTTTGATGATACCAAGCTATGAAAAAGTGAAAAAACTTCTGGTCACCATTTAGTGTCAGATTATAGTGAACACTGAAGACAAAAGGAACTAAGAAAGTCGGAATGTCGAAACTTTAAGGAAACGATTTCATTATTTCGTATATGTCGCCTAAACAGGCTTCACTAGCTTAAAACCAGTAAAAACAAGAACGACAAAATTGAAATTTGACCCATCCCCATCACAAAAGCAACAAATTAGGTTTTGCGATTATATACTGCAGAAAACAAACATTGCCTACCACAAGAAATCTTTGTAGAACCAAACAACCCCTTCGGAAAGCATTTAGAGACTTTCTATGTACACAGAACATAACTTACTTTGGATGCTTAAACCATATTGTCTTTATTAACTACTTTTATGGACATTCAAGCCAACTGTTTGTTTTTATTCTTTTTATGCGAGCAGGATATGTTTTTTAGGTGATTCACAATTTGACAAACTGTGACGTTAAGTGTATGGAATCATTCACATATCACGTGTAGAGCAACACCTTTCACAGGAAATGAAGACCATTCACTATCAAGCTATCAATACAGGGTGTCTTCATGCTCCTTATCCGGTTGACAAATTTTTTAAGGTTTCTGAAACAATTTATGTTCATTAAGTTAAATTCACACTTCTCTCAACCTGAATAACCACTTGGTCAGTTATAAAAAGAGGGATTTATGGAGAAACTTTCCTGGTTAAAGATAATACAAGCACCAGAGACATCTTTGTCATCAGATAAAACCGGCCTATTAGGAGACATCAGGATATAAACTCTGCAAGCTGACTGCGAACCGACAATGTACAATGGTAAGACAATTTTCTAAAAAAAAGTTTTTTGAAATTGAGCTTCAAACGTCATCGAAAAATTCTAGAATCTTATCTTAAAGTTGTTATCCTCTTATAGAAGGCGAGCGCGTGGATCTTGTCAAAACATATTTGCTGAGTTATACTACATTTCTTTTTTTTATCATCATCCCATTTTAAGTCACAGTTATTAATGATCAACTTAAATGATTTTTTCCTTATGCTATTAATAAAAAGACACAGACTTAAAAAACCGTCTTTGGCCCTATGCAGAACCGAA